CACCATCTGAAGTACTGTGATATGGTGTTATATAGCTCCTTTTGGGGATGACCCTAAAAACAGCTAAGTGTCAAGTATTTTCTCTGTCAATTTACTGCAAAGAAGAGATGATGTGAATTATGATCCATGCTTTGATCTGTAGCTACTGGATTAGTCAAAGGGTCAGAAGCATGGCAAGAGCGCTATTGGAGGACAGGTGGCAAGAAAGGCACAAGTTTTACATGGAAGAAATTTTAGAATGGTCCCAGAACAGACTACCTATATCCCATGAAGATGTTTACCAAAAAGTTAACAGAAGTGTAGATAATGCTATTAATAATCAAGTGGGCAAAATGACCACTTCTAAGGATATCAGGTGTTTTGTGCACAGATCCCAGTGTTGTGTGCAATGGGTTCATGTACTAAGTGGCTCCATGGTGGAAGAGATGAAAACTACACATGGGCTAAACATGGACTTCCATCTCCACAGGTGGACCCAGCTACTGCCACTGCTCTGTGCCATTATGCCACCAATGCAAACAGCCGTAGGCCCATTATAAAGTACCCTGACCAGGGGACCAGATAGCTATCTGGCAGTAAGGAGATTATACTGAACTCTGTCACAGAGGGGCACCTATTTGGGATGATGTCTAGAATGGATTCTGTTCCAGCCTACCGAGTGCTGCCAATAGCCTCAACAGTAGGATTACTGAACACTTTACATATCATCTAGTATCTCATATGATAATGTTTCTGATGAAGGAACTCACTTTATAGACAAAGATTAATACAGTGGATGCCATGGGATTCACTGGTCTTACTGCATCCCTCATCACCCAGAAAGAGATGGCTTTATAGATTAATGACCCAGAATGGCAGCTGAGAGACACTGCTTTGTCAAGGTTGGAGTGCTATCTTATAAAATGAGGTGTATGCTCTGAACTAGTAATCATTAAATACTATTTCTCTCATTGCCAGAATATATAGTTCCAGGAACCAAGCAGTCAATGTACAAATGTCTTTTGCAGTCAGCACTAATAAACCACTTGGAGAATTTTTGTTTCCCTTCCCTATAATTCTAGCTCGGCTAGTTTGGAGGCTTAATATCCAAGGGATGTAACAATTTACTTAGAAGCTAAAATAGCCACATCTCTCATTCTATGGGGTGAACAATCAAAATGTGGTCATAGTGTAGTTTAGGTGACCAATCCTGATAAAGAAATTGGGCTGCTGCTAAGCAATAAGGAGAGGGAAAAATTTGGATGGACCCTAGAGAAATCTTCTCACATTACACTATCCACTTGAAAAATTAATCAAAAACTTTTAAAGCCTTATATAGTAAGCATATATAAAAATCCAATTTCCAGTGTTTCAGGAAGGTGGGTTTTGGTTACTCCACTGGACAAAAAAAAAGCTTAATTAGCTCAGGGGCTGGTTGAAGAAGTATATAGGTGATGGTAGAGAAAATAAATCACAAATGTCTGTTTGGCTCCCCAAATATGTTTGGTCCTGTGTTGCAGGAATAAATGCTGTGGCCTCTACCTTTGCTATCTCATATATTTTAATTAACATATTTTACATTATTTTAACCAATCTCATTTCTCTTTCCTCTCTACTCTCCACTTTTGAATATAGCATGTATGGGTTGTAGGTAACTTTATAATTTAGTCCGCTGGCTAGAGAATATTGAGATGAGATTGTAAAAGAACCAGAGAGTGACTGGATATAACCAAGAAATCTGGGACCGATAGAGTCATGAGGAAATTTTCAGTTGTCTGCCTTGGGGAAAGATGAGTGGATTTTGATTATATGAGGGAGAATTGGGTTAGCTGTTAGAAGGAAAATTTTTTATTTTTTTTTTTTAAAGTGTAGGTATGAAGAGAATGGTGTTTGATGAGTTTGGGCAGGTAAAGGACTATAAAAGACTACTGACAGACAGCCAGCATTTGAATATCTCCCCCCCTGCATAAAGGCCAAAGAAGGGAAGATATTCTCATTCCTGCTGCATGCTTGAGGCCGAAGCTCGGGTATTCCAATGTTTCTGTCTTGGACTTGAAAGTTGAGAGAATGATGTAAAAGCCCAACAATCATTTGAGGTTAATGGTGGAAGTGGTGGTCATCAAACTGAGAATCCAAGGGACATGGTAGCATATGCCCACACACTTCTGAAATCACCGCAGAAAAGTCTTCCTGATGAGAACTTTGAAAGAGCATTACTTTGGGGGTTTCCTTATGCTGCAGTATGATTTTACATCAATGACACACTTGAAGGAGTATTTCTGCTTCCCAATACTTTACTTTGATAATTTACTTTGAAGAAGAGAGATGGATTTTTTTTTTTTTTTTGACTTTGCTGACCTAACCTACCTGGTCCTGCCACAGAACACCAATCTGAAACTGTACAATAAGCAGCGACAGGAATTGTCACTAAGCTTCTAGTCCAGGATATTATGGCAAGTAACTCTCATAAAGATTACGGTGTTAAAAAGTCTTCCTATTTTAAGGTAATTAGGAATTCAACAACTGAAACACCTATGTTATAGGTTTTTGGTATAATCAGATTGAATCTGCATATCAATCAGTTGCACTCTTTGAAATCTTGATTTTAAAGGTGATGGCTTTTAGAAGAAAGACTAAAACAAAGCCTGGACGGTCCTATTATTGTAGTGTGCTTGGTGAGATACAATGCCAAAGAATGGTATAATTTCTAGCTGTCTTATTTTAGCAGTGAAAATCTACAAAATAGCAGAAACCATGCAAACAAATTCTATGGTTTCTAATTAACCTTGGTGATAAACTTTTGTGCTGATAAAAAACAAAACACAGAGAAGTAATTCTACACAATGGCTGAGCTATCCAGTTGCTTAGGTCTCACACGTTAAAGTAAAAAACAAATAGTAAGTGCACTCTAGTTTGGAAGAGCACATAAGGTTCACATTTGAGGTTAGTATGAGTCACATACGTTCTAAACACACAGCCTTTTATAACACATGCACACACACACACACACAAATACACTTTGAGCAAACGTCCCAAAATGTGTTCAATAGGTATGTACTTTGTACCTTGACTTCAAAGAAAAGTCTCCATTTGGAACACTTTAAGAATAAGACCCAAGAGAAAAAAGATTGAGCCCAGACAGATGCTGCATATGAACCATCAATATTCCCTACATCTACTTTTCACCATTTGCATCCTAAGTTCAAGATACCATTTAGACACAACAAGGTGACTATTTGGACATACAGTGAATAACACAGGACAGGAATCTTTTGACAAAATTATTTTTATCTTAAGTTATTTATCTTAAATATTTCATATATACACACAAGTAACATTAAGGAACTAACATTAAGGAAGTAATGATGAAACTTGAGAGATAAAAGGGTAGCTGTTACTCAAAGGATTCATGTGATACCTTTTACATGAAGCTAATACTGGGGTCTGCTACTTATCAGTGAATAAGGTCACCTGCAGGCATTTCAAATTATTAGTTAATACATGACTATAATATATATATATATATACACACACAGTATCATCTACCAGGTCCACTAATCCTAGATGAGTCATGAGAAGTAGAAGAGGAACACATGCCAGCTACTGAGACTGGACACTGGTGGGTTAGAAACACTGTTTTGACTGTTCTTCAGGCTGCATGAGATCAGAAAGGGGTGATATGGTGGGAAGAGGCAGAAAATGCAACAATTTTATTACTGATTTTATCTGTTTTTCATCATAATTCCAACTAGAAAAAATATTTTTTAAAAACTAGGAAAGCACAAAAAAGGAAAATCACTATATATAAATCCATGGAGAGAAACAGGAATATCTATATTTAGATGTAGTGGAAGGAAACACAAAGAACCATATTAACTGATTGTACCACATAAAATGCAAAAACTACTTGTAAAAAGCTACTAAGACAAAAAGACATGCAAGGAATCAGCGAAATTAACTAATAAAAGCAGATGAAAGATTAATATGTGTGTCTACGTATGTAGTCATAAATATATACGGAAAAAAGTGGTATCACACTAAGTTTCAGGAGTGCATGTTTTAATTTGGTAAGGCTCTCATACAAATCTTTAAGAAAATGCTGTACTGCAAAAGATAAAACCTCAAAGGAATGAAGACACAAAAAAGAAAGAGACAACCAATAGCAAACAAATCAGAGAAAAGTCAATCAGACAAAAATCAAGGTGTACATTAAAATAATAATGAATGTTTTATCTATAATATATCAACAAATTACAACATATGAGGATGTAGTAAAACTGTTACTCTCATACACTACTGACAATACACATATCAATGGTGGGGACATTAACTGGGATGTGCGTTTTGGAAAATAATTAGCAGTGTACATGAAAAGCTACAAAAATATACACATTATTTGACCCATTGCATTTTAAGTTAGAACTCTACACTGAGGAAACAAGTCTAAATAAAAACCAACCATAATAATAAAGGTGCATGATTATCTAATGATAGAGGAAAAATACAATGGAATGGCCACATAATAGAATTGTATAGACATAAAAAATTTTAATTGCTTCAAATTTCACTACTTGGCTACAGGATAACAACAGGTTTTTAATTTTTATACATTTAGTGTTTTCTAAATTTTTGAAAATGGTCATATTACACATTTTATAGGAAGTTAATTTTGCAAAATTGATTATAAGTTGCATGAGGGCAGTGAACACTCCAATAGAAAGACAAATATGCATATTATAATATACATAGCTGATGATGTTAAAGGGAAAACAGATGAAAGTAAATATGGAATAAAAATACTTATTTAGCAGGAAAATAATGGAAGAAAATACGTAAAAATATTAAAGGTGTTAAGGTGGCAGTATTATGCATTTCCTATATTTTTCCCCAAATTTCTGTAATGTTATACTAAACTTTTAGTATAGAGTAAAACTACACATCATTAAATATGTAATTTTCATTAATTATAATACAAACTAATTTGACATGGATAAGAAGTAGAAATAAAATATATTGCTTACCTCTCTTTCATCCATATTCAACCACTGCTTTGGATCTTCTTCAGTAGCCAGAAAAGCTATCAATTCCAAAGCAGTAAGACGAGTTTGACGTCTTGATGAGACAAATATCAAAACAGGTTTGGCTGGAGAATGGCTTCTAATTGCTATTGAAAAGTTGTGGAAAATGTGGACAATAAGAGTAAGCAAGCTACTTACAACCAAATATGAATGTCATTAGGATATGAAATGGATGATACAGGAAAGCTAGTATCATTGATTTAAATAAATTCTTAATTTAGTCATGAAATTCAGCATTATCTGTGGTACTACTTGGATCTGACAACATATTGGAGAAATGACAGGAAAGGAAAGGTAGCTGAACCTACCTACGAGAGCATATTGCCTGGACAGGGGAAGCTGAACTGTGTCAGCTCCCAGTTCTACTCTGAGTTGCTGAGGAAGGTAACACAAAAGCTGAGACTCTTCAGTAAAAGCTGTATATGAATACTAAATCTAAGGTTGAGTTTTCTGAGTTGTGTTTCTGCTCACCTAAGCAACGATATTATAGAGTTAACTGGTCCTAGGGTTGGGGGAGAGAGTTAGGTCCTACCTAGTGATGAAAACTCTCTAAGAAAAGCTCCTTTAAATTAAATTTCCTTTAATTTTTGTCATTACTAGTGAATGGAATAACTAAGAGAGAGTTTGTGGGGCACCTGGGTGGCTTAGTGGGTTAAGCATCCGACTTCAGCTCAGGTCATGATCTCACTGCTCGTGAGTTCCAGCCCCGCATCATGCTCTGTGCTGACAGCTCAGAGCCTGGAGCCTGCTTCAGATTCTGTCTCTGTCTCTCTGCCCCTCCTCCACTCATGCGCTCGCTCACTCTCTCTCTCTCCCTCAAATATAAATAAAAGCATTAAAATATTAAAAAAAAGATTTTATATCAATAAACTAGTCAGAGATATGTCGAACGAAGGTTTTACTTTTCTCTAAAACATATGTGTAAGGTTTCAAATGGAAAGATAAGAGAATGTAGAAGAGAGCTGAAGAGAATACCATGTCTGAATCTCTGTCTGAGTGACAGAGATTCAGATGGAAGGTAGACACACAGAAGATGCAATGAATAGTTTGAAACAGGAGTAATTTGACTGAAAGAAAAAAAATTACCTAAAGAGCCACATAAATCATCTGACCTAACTGGAAACAGGGCTTCTTTACATTGGCTCCGAAATACTGATAAGATGGCACATATGAAATTAACACTTATGTGTACAAAGATCTCTTAACACAGAGATATTTAACAGTTTTACATAAAAAAAATTCAACCTTCTGTAATTTCTTGTTTGAAATGTGAGCTGCAGAATTTCTTTCTATAGGCTTGTTTCTTAACAAGGATTATAATGAAAATGTTGACATGAACTTCACTATATTTATACTCGAAGAGTAAGAAAATAAAGCTATAAAATCCTATTTCTAAACTCAAAGAAATACAGTGATACACTACAGGTATAATAAACAGTTTATAAGGACAGCTTCTGTACTGATATCATATCTAGAGAAGTGTAAGTATTTCAGTTATTTACTATTGATTTATATAACACAAATGCTTCCTTTCAACCATTGGTATGCAATTGGCCATTCCTTACATAAACACAAGCAATCACAACAATACATATCGTGAAAAATAAACTATCTTATTTCTCACTCACAGTTTATCAGAATATTACAGAATATAAATGGTAGTGCTTTGATAAATCGTATTAGAAATACAATGTTTAAAATACACATATTAGTACAATATTGGTATCATTTGTACACATAATCATGAATGAATCTGTCTCTTTTTTTAAACCTCAACATTTAATGGATTTTTGCTGCTGCAAGAACAGGTGTGGCTGAACAGCTCACGGCAGATTTATTGTTCATTAGTGATTTTGTACAATGCTTCTGTGGAGGTGTAAATAATCTGAACTGCCAAGATTGGTCTCTAGTTCACAATCAATACTTTGCTTCTGTCATCAGGCTAATTACAGCAGCGAAAAAGTCACCTCACAACTGTCACCTCACAATCAACAGCAGTTCACACTAGAGAATTTATTTTGGAGGTTATTTTTAATTGATATAATAAATATTCCTTATGCAGCCTAAACAAAACATGTTTCAATAAAATAGGAGTGTTATTCTTAAATCTTTCCTGCTTGCCTAATCTGTTAGAAAAGGAAAACCAAAAAATGAAGCAGAATGCTGAAAAAAAAAAAAGTATTGAAATTTGTAAGTTTTAGGATTTCTGGTAAAAATTAAGATTATGTGATTTTTTTTTACACTTATAGTTCCTATTTATCATTTGTTCAAGCTACTACCATAAGAAAATAACTTAATAGATTAAGAATGATTTAGTTTTTAAGAATACATTTTTCTACTACCAACACAGTATCATCTACAAAATCTCTCCAATTTTCAATAGTTAATTCAACACACATTTTCTTTCCTTAACAGCTGAGGTAAATTGTTTTACACATTTGTGGAAGTTGGAACAGTACCGGCATTTCAAAGAAACCCAAATTATCTCGAATGCATTTAATGCTACCATACAAATTACTCCAAGGATCTGAAGCTTACCTTGAAATGTAGGCTTATTCATACTAGCCATACGAGGACAGTAATGTTGACCTGGGAAGCCTTGAATGTGAACTTCCAGTGGAACTGGACGTACTGATGGTCGGAAATTGAACAAGCCCATCTAGAGTAAAAACGAGAAAGAAATCATTTTCTGTTTTCCTATTTAAGTGTATGTAACAGTGTCTCATTAATATGGCCACCTAAGCCACACTATTAAATGCCTATTTATCAATCTTCCATATACCTGATGAATGTTGAGCCAATCAGCAAGGTCTCTGGCATTAGCTAATGCAGTAGATAGTCCAACTATTCTAACAGGCTTTTCTGTGTGTGATGAGATGAAATTTGTTCGAGATACAATGACTTCTAGAACAGGGCCTCTTTCCTCCCCTAGGAAATAGGAATAATACATGTTAATCATTTAACAAGTCCGACGCTGGCTGCTGCAAGTATGAGAGTCAAAATGTGTAAACTGGCATCAGATACAGTGGTACCTACCAAGAAGATGGATCTCATCTATGATGAGAATAGTGACTTGCTTCACATAGTTCCTATTTTGCCAGCTTCTACTGACTCCATCCCACTTCTCTGGTGTAGTGACAATAAGGTCAGCCTTAGCAATGGATTTCATATCAGGAGTCACATCCCCGGTTAGTTCAATAACTCTGGAAAGGAAGAAAATGATCTTTTTCTCAGAAAACACATGCCCTTGGAAAGGTAAAAATTTATCCTTCAGAATAAAATTTTATAATGCTTAATACTACTTTATCTCCCCTTGATTTCTGAAATTTTCTCAGTCCAAAATATGTTTCTTAAGAATTGTAACAGAACATATCAATTGAAATCACTGATAATCTAACTTTCATGCAGATATGCAAAGGTGTCAAACTTTGCTATGATTATGTTTACAAAGTCTCCGCTCTATGTGTTTTTATAGAGCTGAACTCATACTTCCTTCTCCATATGTTGGAATAAACACCTTTCTAATGAGGGAAAGTGTTAATTTATTAAGACATAAAGAGGCATTCACTAAGAACATAATTACGTGTAAGCTTCATTTCTTTTTTTAGACTAAAAATTTCTATAGATACTATAGGTAAATCCAAACATACTAGGACATAAACAAGATATGCTGGGGCAAATATGTGCTACCTCATTCTAAGAAGACCTCAGTTTTATAGTGAGAAAGAGGGAAATCTGAAGGCCAACTTTAAATTTTAGGTAATTACTAAATAATTTTTATATCTAACTTAATTCTAAAAAAACAAAAAAGGGTAAGACTAGTTTCCCCAAGTACAGTGTTCCCAAAGCTTTTGCTTATTTTTATTCATTTTTTATTTTTGTATTTTATTATTTTGAATATGTAATACATTCACGTGGTTCAAAGAATGTGTGGTGAGCAGTCTCTGTCGTATGTCTATCTTCCAATCACCTGGTCCTTATTCTAAAGCAACAACATATATTCTTTACCATTTTTTAAAAAAGTAAAAGATAGGATACTTTACTTAAAAACATTTTCTATAATATCTCTGGAGATCACTCCTTCAGTATATAAAAAGTTCATTCTTAATAGAATGATACAATATTTTGCATTGTGTAAATGTACTATAATTTATTTAGTCATGTTCTATTGGACACTCAGGTTACCTGCAACCTTGCTAGTAAAAATACCACAATGAATAAACTTGTGCAATACTAAAATATTCTTTAAAAAGTCATGTTCTTTAATGAATTTCTATTTTTTGGTAAGATTATTTATAATCAAAATGCCCTCAGTGTGATTTCTGGGACTTACTGCGAATGATATGAAAGGAAAATAAAGAGATAAAACTTATTTTTCTTTAGTTTTAGAATTTAAAAATTATGAGAGAATTATTTTGTCAAGTATTCATATTAAATAATTAAAGGACTTTCATTTTTCAATACTAAAACAATGGGAATAGTGATAACATTTTAACAGTAATTACAATACCCTTAAATAAAAGACTATGAAAATCACTGTAAAAGCATTCAACACTTTTGTGAAAATCTTTTATTTGTTCATCCTTTTAGGTTACTTAAAACACATCTTCTGATAAAGCAAGAACTTACTTTTTACCAAGTTTTTCTTCTATTCTAACTTTCCAATCATCCATTCTTTCACGTACAAGAGCTTTTAAGGGTGCAATATACACTGCCTGAAAACAGAGGGGAGGGTAAAAAGATCTCATGAAAATAGTAACATCATTTTCAAATAAAGGTAAACCCCGTAAAATTCATCCACATACGACAGTGTGGTTTAAAAATGTATCTTATATTACTGAAAATTTAAAATTAATGGGGAAAGTTACTAACTTGCTCAAATTACCCTCATCCAAAGTAAGACTGAAATATAAGACATCATAAAATACTGACACAGAAAATATTAAATATTTTTTAAAAGTCACTGAAGGTGTTTTAAGTATTTTATATTCTGATGAAAATAAGTTTTTCCTGTTATTATGATCAAGATTCTAACTCCTCCATGAAAAAAGTTACTACTTTTGAAATTCTAAAACATAATCTGGTTGTTTAAATTTTAATGGAGATTTTATGAAAAATGCTAGTCATATATTCTACCTTTTCTTAATAACAACAATTGGTCTTTAATAATCCAAATCTATATACAGAATATTCAGTGAAAAAAAATATTTCCCTTATAAAATGTTTCAAATTTATAGGAGAGGTCTACTATTGTATTAACAGGTCTCATAATGGATCAAAAACCACAAAATAGACTGAGAAGTAGGAAAACTTCAAGCTAAGCAGAGAAGAAAAGTCGCTAATTGAAAATCACTGAAAAAGGAAGTTAAAACATTTCTAAAATAATAAATGATGAGGAAAACACCACATAATTCCAATCACAATGTATGAATTAGCTTTCCTGAAAAATATGTACCTCTAAACTATGAGTATGTACTTCACATTTCAGGAAAGCATAAATTTAAGACTTATTTGACTTGCCACATTACATTAATAATATGGCATTTGCAGAAATGTGGAGTAAAACTGCCTCTGTATTTCCTGTGTATAATTAAACTGTATTTGTTTAAAGATTAGGATTTCTTTTAAAAAAAAAAATTTTTTTTACATTTATTTATTTTTGAGAAAGAGTGAGACAAAGTGTGAGTGGGGGAGGGGTAGAGAGAGAAGGAGACACAGAGTCAGAAGCAGGCTCCAGGCTCTGAGCAAGTGGTCAGCACAGAGCCTGATGCAGGGTTTGAACCCAAAAACTGTGAGATCATGACCTGAGCCGAAGTCAGACGCTCAACCGACTGATCCACCCAGGTGCCCAGATTAGGATTTCTTTTATAGCAAAAGGATGTGAGTAAAAGTCATTATTTATCTTATAAATATGGCTATGAATCAGGTATCTTATAATGAGAAAAAGACATGTGGAAATTGACATGTACATTAGAAATCTAACTAGAGAACTCCAAAGTTTAAGATAAGTTTTCTTCTGGCCAGTTATCTAATACTGATCTGGTCCCCTGCACCCCCACCTCCTGCTCAGAAAATTCACTGAGAGAGTGCTTGTGTCCTGATGTGTATTTAGAACTGGCTAGTTTACAGATTATGAACTGCGTTTTCTAATTTAATGTAAGCATGTGATTCTTTCAAACAGACCTTTGAAGTAGGGTACTTGTTGAAGACTCTGAAAATGGCTAATTCAGCAGCAACGGTCTTTCCTGATCCAGTGGGTGCTCCAAGGAGGACATTACAGTCTGTGTGGTACAGGGTATGAAATATTTGTGTCTGCACAGGGTTAAAGTGGCTAAAGTTGTATAGTGCTTCATATGCTTCACATCCCAAAGCTGTGATTGGTAAAGGCTGAAGATCCAGTAATTCTGAAAAGATGAAACACGTACTGCCATTAAAAAAACTGGAAAAAATGCACAATACTGAATATTGTCTCTTAGGAATAAATTATAATAATCTTTAATTCCTTAGAGGGGGAAAAAAAGACTTAACAAAAATTTTTATATACTGTTACATATCTTTTTTTCCCTGTTACTACATCTATAATATTGATGAACTGGACACTTTTCTGGGGGAGTCCCCATATACCGAATACAATGTCATACCTATATCTATCTATCTATCTATCCATCCATCTACCTACCTATCTATATTGCTCCTCCCAATCAGGAAAGTAATTTGAATAACAGGTGAACGAAAATATGCATGGTATAGAAGAAAACTAAATCTACCCCTATCTGTAGAAAAAGGAAAACCACTTGCAAACTTCAGTTCTAGAATGGTTACCAATAAGAAATTTCCTTTGATCTGTTAGAAAATGGACCAAACCAGAATGGTTGAGTGAGCTATTGCTCTAGCCAATGTAAACTAAACTAAAAATAATTAAAGGAAGAAACTCAGGGGGGAGTTTCAAATCAGAGAATGACTGGGTACAAAAGAACTGCACTGAGAAAACACATAACAGAAAGCCTGGAGAATTCTCTGCTCAAAAATTACACTTAAAAATAAAAAGCTATTTTTAAAATATTATCTTAGCTCCACAGCTCTACTCTATTACATAGGTACTTGAGAGCTAACCACATGTTTTCTATAGCAGATTATAATCTCCTAAATTTTCTGTACCTACTGAAATCAAGAAGGGAAGAAGTCTTACCTTGCAATGCTAATCAAGACATAGACATATTCTTAATAGGAACTAAAAAATAAACATTTTGGTATATATCGATTGTCGATATATATTGTTGATATAAATTAAAATGATTGACTTCTATGAAAGTTGAAGAATTTTCTTGGCTGATTTAGGTTGAGGCACCATATGTACACATGCACCCATGCACACACCCGCATGCACGCATGCGCGCGCGCGCGCACACACACACACACACACACACACACACACACACACACTCAGCCAAATAGAACCGGGAATCACTGAGGTTACATCATGCATTTATAGTATCAACTGAGATGTCACGGTGGTGGTACATTTACTGCTTTTTAAAATGTAGTTAGAAGTCAACTAATTATATAAATAGGATGATATGTGCTTGGCCACTCAACAGAGAGGTGATAAAATGAGCATTAAAATATAATGTTCATGCACGTTAAAATCAAGTACTGAAGTCAGAGATCTACTAGTGATGATGGTAGCATGTATTTTTAAACTAAAGCACTAAACATCGTTATGTATTCTGAGATTCTAGATATCATATAAGGCATATTTGATGGAAGAAAAGCAGAAGGGTCCTCTTCAGTGAGTATATCAGTAGATGCTACAATCTCATTATTTCTCTGTTGACAAACTTTTTTAGTTTTATCAACATATCCAAGTGGTTTTAAGCTGTAAAGTATTTCCCTTTAAGATATGTTAAGATAATGAACAAGGTACCCATTTGACAAAAATGGCAAAGATGAAAGTCACATTAATGCCTTCTTTCATTTCCCAAAGGATTGTGAAAAATATGTTAGTATGAACTAATTCTTACTAACTAACTAATGTTCTTACTAACATTTTTATTTTGAAAAAACAAAGAGTTTGTCTTCAGAGGAATTATATGAAAAAAAAATTGACCTTCAATTTTCTATAAATTAAAGGCCTCCTGAAATCAATAATTATCAATTATGAATTCTCAGTAAGAAATAAACTTAATATAATAAATTAATAGCTCAATCTAAAGATTTTTTTAAGAGCCCAACATGGGCTTGAACTCATGACCCTGAGATAAAGACCTGAGCTGAGATGAAGAGTCAGAGGCTTAACTGACTGAGCCACCCTGGTGCCCCTAAAGATATTTTTGAAATAGAATATAGGCCACTGGAAAGTATCAATATAAACATTCATGAAATTTTGCTTCTTTAATAAGTCACAATATAAACATACTTGCTCATGTTGCAAAAATCTAAAATGGATTTTTGTTAGTTGACAATGAAAAACTGTTACATGATATTGCAGATTAGTATATACCCTTTTATCATATTACTGTGGAGGAACAGAACTAATAAAAATGGTACTTGTTTGTTGGATGCAAAGTGACTTGAGGTATAGTGAATCTATTCTGTAGTGATAGTATTATCTAATTCCTTAATATTAGCATTTGTTATTTTTGGTGTAGAAGCACACTGTATGGAGGGAAAAGAACCTATAATTCACTTTAATTAATTCATTTAACATACTAGAAATAAGTTTAAGTAAACAGTAATAAACGCAAAGAAAAAGTATACCTCAAAAGCTTCACAGAGAGCACAGATTAACACTTGCAATGGAAAAGGAAGAAAATATGGAGAAATTGTAATGATCATATGTAAAAATAGGGATGAAGGCAAAATAATACAGAAATAGTGAGTCTCATGCTTATTAGAACTATGAGACTGAACTACACTTACTTTAATGTTTTTGGAACTAAAACAAAATTAAGGCCCACCATAAAACTCTACCAAATGTATATATAGCAATCTATTTTAGAAAGTCTCTTTTCAAACTATATTGACAAATAAGTTGGATTCTGATTCAGATTCAGACTTTTAAGTATAGACAATTGCAACTTTAATTAACACAACACTTCTGCAAAATCAATGATTCAAGTTACTATTCAATGTTACCTGTATGAGGAGGATGTCTCTCTGGTAGAATCAGATGTTGAAAGTTGATAATGCATACAGCCTCAGCTCCTAACCATCTATCAGACACTGCTCGGATGTAGTATTGGGAAGGCAAAGGCTCAAAAATAGGGATTGTAAACACCAGTAGTTGAGCTTCTTTACTAATAACCTAATGTGAAATAAAATCTCAAATGAACATGAATATGCTAATGATAAAGGCCTTCTTAGTCTATGGTTAAGACAATGATATCTACAGCAAGAGGTACTAAAGATAAAGAAAATATCTTAGATTTCTAAATAGTCGAGATTTTCAGGCACTTTAGAAATGTGTAGGTGGTTTCCTTCTGAGGATACCTGATATTGTTGAAAGTAAAATTTATACTCAATTTATATTATTTATATATGCATATCATCACATATTAACAAGTTACCAGTTTGACTCATTATCAGAATTTCCCAAACTTCATGCATTAAATTACTCGACTTCATAATTTTTACCAAATTATTTACTTAATATTTTTCTTTAAATTCTATTACTACATTAAGTGAAATAAGAGGAACTAGCATAAATAGAAGGTAATCATGAACACAAAACATTGCTGTGAAATTCTACTGCTGTCTACCCAAGGTTCCCAGCCTGAAGCTTGCTTTCTCTTCAATAAAAAGAGAAATCATGGATGAAGCATCACAGTTAAAGATATGCCAGCATCAAATTGAGTCTTTCTGCTGTTATTTATGGAAAATTTTTTACAAATGCCCTTTTTATAGACACTTCTCTAAAGAAGACATCCAGATGGCCAACAGGCACATGAAAAGATGCTCAACGTCTCTCCTCATCAGGGAAATACAAATCAAAACCACACTCAGATATCACCTCACGCCGGTCAGAGTGGCCAAAATGAACAAATCAGGAGACTATAGATGCTGGAGAGGATGTGGAGAAATGGGAACCCTCTTGCACTGTTGGTGAGAATGCAAATTGGTGCAGCCACTCTGGAAAGCACTGTGGAGGTTCCTCAGAAAATTAAAAATAGACCTACCCTATGACTCAGCAATAGCACTGTTAGGAATTTACCCAAGGGATACAGGAGTACTGATGCATAGGGGCACTTGTACCCCAATGTTTATAGCAGCACTCTCAACAATAGCCAAATTATGGAAAGAGCCTAAATGTCCATCAACTGATGAATGGATAAAGAAATGGTGGTTTATATACACAATGGAGTACTACGTGGCAATGAGAAAGAATGAAATATGGCCCTTTGTAGCAACATGGATGGAACTGGAGAGTGTTATGCTAAGTGAAATAAGCCATACAGAGAAAGACAGATACCATATGGTTTCACTCTTATGTGGATCCTGAGAAACTTAACAGAAACCCATGGGGGAGGGGAAGGAAAAAAAAAAAGAGGTTAGAGTGGGAGAGAGCCAAAGCATAAGAGACTGTTAAAAACTGAGAACAAACTGAGGCTTGATGGGGGGTAGGAGGAAGGGGAGGGTGGGTGATGGGTATTGAGGAGGGCACCTTCTGGGATGAGCACTGGGTGTTGTATGGAAACCAATTTGACAATAAACTTCATATACTGAAAAAAAAAATAAAATAAAATGCCCTTTTTACTCTGTGAGCCAATACTCTTTAGTATTTTGTTTTTGTAACACCTAAAGTTATTAGTTTTAATTTAATAAATAACCTAAAGTTAGTAATTTTTATTTATTTAATTTTATTTATCTATTACATTACTTATCCCATCCATTTGACATATTCCACTCCTCTGGAAGTCATGCCTTAAACCATGATAAAAATTACAATTCAATTTCTCAAACTAAGATCACATTGAATATATGAATACAATAACATGCAATTCCTGTTTTCTTTAAAACCAAATAGAAACATAAAAAATAATAAATAAAGCTTTAATGGCATTATGAAATTGTAGAGAAATAGGTAAAAACAGAAATTATTTAGTTCATATTTTCTTCTTTCTATAATAGCAACATAATAATAGAGCAACACACCCATGTTTACCTGTTTTTTTAGAACTATAAAATACTCTGAATGATAAATATGGTCATTTGTAGGATCTTCTACCCAAATCCACCAAGGTTCTCCTACTGTCCCATGGACCTAGAAAAAAATAAGATTCTTATACTATGTATATTTTAACTCAAGTAAGGGATATTGTTGTCTGCACACCCAGCAGCCATTTTTCTCTAACAGCTTTATTGATGTATAATTTACATAACAAAGTATACTCATTTAAAGTATATAGTTCAATGGTTTTAATATATTCACAAAGTTGTACAAACTCTTCCATAATCTAATTTTAGAACTACCCCCAAAAAGGTACTTAAACCCATTTGCAGTCACTACGTAACTTCCCCTATTGGTCTGCAACCTTGACAACCCCAATCTGCTTTCTCTCTATAAAGATTTGCCTATATTGGACATTTCATATAAATAGAATCATATGTGGGCATCTGTGATTCACTTCTTTCATTTACCATGTTTTCAAGGTTCATTCATGTTGTATCATGCATCAGTCTTCATTCTTTTTAATTGACAAATAATATTCCATTGGATAGCTAGATATACTATATTTCGTGTATTCATTCCTCTCCCTCTTTTTTTTTTTTTTTTTTTCCCTAACAAAGCTCAATCTTGTCAGTGCTCATCTTTCTCTAATGTGACTCAGGAGAAAGGTGACCACATCTCTCAGGATGATTTTGGTTAGTACAAGCCAATCAGCTTACAGCATCCTCCTTACAACAAACAGCTTGTGGTACGGGATAGGCACATGCCCAATACCAGCCCAGTTAGACTGAAGAAAAAGTCTTCTAGTCCATGCTCTGGGTTAAAGAAGTAGGGGTGTGTTTACCTTTCTCTGTTAAGTGTGAACAAGGAAGCATGAAAATATTTGGAAAGTAGCCAAGAGTGTAAGGACAGCAATATGATGGGCCCTAAATTATAGCATTAAATAAAAGACTCAATCACCTTTGGAGCCTATTCTACCTTTGGAACTTTTATTGTGGAAGACAATATATTTTCCTGCATAAGTCAGTTTGAGACAAGTTAGGTTTTCTATTCTTGTAGTCAACAGCCTTCTGATAGAGTTTACAATAAAAACAATTAAGTACACTATCATACTAATGAATTAAACCAAACTGTAAAAGATTTTCTATGGATACTGATAGAAGTAAACAGTGTGAAAAAAAATAAAGCTTTTATGCATTTTAAAAATACTCTATTAAATACAAAATGAAATATGAGTATATGGCTAATTTATATTTTATGTGAAACTTTGTTTATACAAATATTAAATATAATTTTCTATCATGTAGCTCTCACAGAAATTCTATGAAAAACTAATAATTATTATTATTATTACTTATGTTTACAGACGAGGAAACTGAAGAAATTACTGGTTAGGACAGTTTACAACCAGTGGTAGATTTGCATTAGGACTACGGTTGGGTAATTTTTGAGCACACTGACAAAATTAATTCATATTAAAGATGTACAAATAATGTCAGGTAATGTAGAAGATATTTACTGAAACTGAATTAGAACCTTACAATAACCATGTAAAGTAGGAATTGCCACAACAATTACTGATTTCCTTGCCTTCCTCCACTGGCTTCTTGAAAGAAAGGATTGAGACTTACTTTCTTTTGTATCTACAATCTCTACTGTACTCTTTGTACAGTAACTGCTGAAAAGACAGACCTTTAAAAATTTTGACAGAATAAGAAGAGGATCAAGAGTAGATCTTCCTAAACACACACACACACACACACACACACACACACACACACACAAACAGTAACACCTAAGATTTAGAAAGAAGAATCGAAGATATACAAACAGAAATAGGCATGTTATGGGTGCCAAGGAAGGGCATTCTCAAGAAGGACAAAGTATAGTGCTGAATGTTCAGAGAAGTAAAAAAGATCTGAGAAAAGTCATTTATTATGGCAACCAGTCAGTTTTTAGTAATCACTGAGAAAGTAGTCTCAGCAGGAGGGAAACTGGTGACCAGGAAGAAATACAGACTACTCTTTCTACAAGTCTAATGGTAAAGAAAAGAAGAGAATGATAGTTGGAGAAATATCAGGATTAAAGGGCTTGTTTAGCACGAAGAATCTTGACTTTTTTAATAGACTAAAATGACAGAGTAAGTAGGACTGGCAAAAAATGAAGATACCAGAGAGAAAATTAAAGAAGACAAAGTTAATAAGCAAAGTCACTATGAAAGTGAATCACTAAACTGTTGTTCAATGCTAAATATTTAGGTCACCTAAGAGTTCTGGAAAGGTCTCATTGGTTGACATATTAATGTATTATACCATGTTTTTCTTGAGGATGATAGTAAATATTACTATACTGTTTAAAATAAATCTTCAATGTATCTTTTTTTTAGAGATTTTCTACATGCCTTAAGGACATATGTAAGGAGGTATAATTGAACCTGCAGTTTACACATTTTGTTTATCATGGATATAGATATTTTCCACTTTTACCTGATCATTCCAAGTAAAATCAGGACAGATGCTGAGCGTCACTCGGAGGACAGTCCGTGTGATGGGCTGAATGGATGCTTCCATTGTAACAGAAGGAATCTGATGAACACATTGTTTGACCTTGAGCCCAATATTCACATGATGCAGCATGTGACCTGTAAGGAAAACATCACATAGAAGAAATGTGTTCAGACAGAAAAAAAGCAATATAATCTGACTTGTAAATGGGATTTCAGAGAAGGTGGTTTTATTGCTTGTTTTATGATTTGCTACGTAGAATAGCTGACATTCTTGACCTGGCATGTTTGAATATTTTGTAATAGTTAACTTGAATTAGCAATTCATAGCTCTGAAAACCAGTATCAAGGTTTCTTCAGCTATTAATAGGGTTCTTAAAATTACTGAAACTTGACAGTGTTTAAACTACTATAAACAGTTCCACTTCTCCTAGTTAGCTCATGACATAGTATAAAAATATTCAGTATTTTGTGAAAACAGCCATTAATTTACACAAAGTCTATTTCTCAACATTATAACCATGATAGGAAATGTTTTGATAATAAAACACAAATCACCCATCCAAACTCATTTCCAGAAAAATGCTAAAATATAAATTATGGTCACATAGCACATAATTAACAAGTTATACATATTTTCATGAATGATTAGATTCTGAAATAGTTATGTCTGGGAATGCCAGGGTCGGTGGGGGGGGGGGTGTCACAAACAGATGTGACTAACTATAGACATTTTCCTACTTCAGTTCAAGCAATTAAGTGGAAACAGATTATATTTAATAGTATCAACATTTCTTGTCTATCTAGGTTCTTCGTAATATAATTTCTTAAAGCAAGATTACGAACAGATCAAAATGTTCTATGTTCACCAGAATCTGAACTAAAGTGATTTTCCTTATTTTGATACAACATTTACATGTTACTCCAGTGTGAGTGCTCTCAACTTCCTTCGTTAATATTCTCAAGTTCTCTCTATTTCATTGATACTTCCCTTCTACCATTCTATCTTGAAAGTGTTCTCACTATACAAGTGAAATAACTACCTCAACCTCTCTTTACATCTTTGGACCTTATCCCTCCCCCCTTATTCCTCCTCAGCCTGACTCCCTTCATGTGTAATGTCTATTCTGTTCTGAATGTGAAATATTAACTAGTCAATACATTATACATTTGTCCAATAAAATGTTCAGGTACGTGAAAATGTATGGATAAATAATTTTTCAACATCATATAAACACAGAAGAACAAATGTTATTTACATTTGATACCAACGTGATTTAAAATGGTAAAAATTTATCTTGAGTAATGTGAAAATGCACAATAGTTCTCTTTTATATCTAATAAACTTTTATTTGTAAAGAATAATACATTAAAACACTTTTGCTTCCTTCTTACCTATTTCATCTTTCCTCATGTCTTTCAGCTTATCCACAGTAAGGTTTTTTTCTTCTAATCTTGTTAGAATGTGTGGTGGTAACACTGAAAACTGTCTCAAAGGGCTAGCCCAACCCCAAAGCCTCTTGTCAATGACTTTACTAAGATTCAGGAGCCTGTAGGTCATGGCAGGCCAACGTTTCCTCAGAGCAATTTCAAAAAGAGCACGAACAATTCTAGCTGCATTCTGAAGAATAAAAAGAGGGTCAGTAGTTAGGTACAGTGTACTTGTAAATTTGTCAAATTTGTCATTCACACCCAGTTTTAAAAGAAGTATGCCAAGTTGCACCCTTTAATTGTAGGCAACATCTATTCTCATATAACCCTATTTATCTTGATTATTTCTACATAAGAATAATTACATCCTTCATATGTGGACGTTATCTTGTTTAATTCTCAGATGGCAGCCTCATTTCCAAGTTTTCAGGAAGCTCCACCCTACATCCCCTAACCAGGAATGAAGGAGATAAAACGTATATAAAGTACTTAGTATGCTGTTGAGGCCATTTAGAATATAAGAGACAGTCAAGGATATTCTTGGGTATATAGTGGAATGATTATAAGTCTACTTATGAAAATAAGGAGGACTTTGGGATCCAGTCAGATGGAAAAATTAGTAAGAGAAGAGTGATAAAGGAAGTACTGATGAGTGTAGCTATCTGTATTAGTGGCTCTCTAAAAACCAAGCAACATATTAACAGCATTATGTACCTAATTTAATCTATTATCTCATTTAATCTTTATAACAACTGCATTTGATTGATCTTGATATTATGATTTTACAGATGAAGATACTAGAGCTTGGTATGGTCAATAATTTGACCAAGATCACACAGATAGTTTGTGTCACAGTATCTATTCAAAGTCAGGTCTAAACAATTCCAATTTAACTCCAAAATTCTAAATTCGATGGTCAGGATAATTTCATTAATAGACATATAGAAAGCTACAATGTTTGAAGCCTATTAAGCATCTCCACAGTTAGTTTCTATTTGTTTTGCCCTCTTCCCTCTATCATTAACTTTGCATATTTTTACTGAAGATTGTTTTTAAAGTCATGACCTTGGAGATACCTCATAGAATTTAATGACATCTATATCTGAAAATGAAGACTTTAAAAACTTCGATTTCTCTATCTAAAATCTTCACTCTTTTTCTTCTCTTTTTATTATTTTGACCAAGATCGAAGTTATGAGGTAAAAATGATCATAAGAGTTAAGGGATTTGATATTACATTTTATATAAAATATGTATTTGTCTCTTAACAAATTCAACTACTTTTTATCAGTATTAGAAATTTAAGAACAAAAATGGTACTTAGAAGTATAAGGACAGTTTGGATACCTATTAAAAATTACAGGATGGCTTTTATTAAGCCAAGAGAATGATAAATGAAGTGAACATTTTGATTATTATCTCTACCAAAGAGATTTTCTTCTTGCATCATTCCTAGTTGCTCCTGTAAGAACATGCCAGGCTAATTTTCCCAACTGTATTTGAAAGTATGTTATTTTTCTATGTCACAACCTACAGTTGTTCCCTAAAAGCTAAAAGAAATGGAAGGAGGAATCCCATGTGAGATATAAGCAGGCATTTTAATCTGGAATGATATAAATTGAGTGAGCATAATGATTAAAGTCTCTAAAATGTGCAGTTTAGAGAAGCTAAATATAGGATTCTTTATAAAATCGTAGAATATTTGAGCTAAGGATTTATCTCAGGCCTGAGATAATCAAGTTTTAGAAATACAGAAGGGATGATTACTATTTTACAGAGCTGAGAGGGTGTTTGTGGAACTGTTGATGGCTTAAACTTAAAACATAAGCTCAAAAGTAATTTATCCCACGCATTCAAGAATAATAAACCCACAATAGCCATTTAAGAAAAACCAGGATGCTTTGAGATATAACCTTAATTTTCTGAGACTGACTTTCTGAGCACCAATCATGAAGAAACCGTAAGTTTTACATTATAAAGCAATCCATCTGTCAGTCTTGATAATCTCGAATCAACCATAAATGGGCCAGATTATTCATCTGGAACCCAGAAAAGCTTTAACTTTTAGAGAAGTCATTAACTGTTTCAATATAAAATCATTAGAAAACATAAAATGACAATATAATATTATTTTTCAGAAAAACAGATAAAAGAAGTTAGAAACAATGGTTCCTATAGAAGTCACAGAGTTTTGAGACTATATATAAATTTTTATGGCAGGAAACACATGTCTTCCAAAATGCAAAAAGAAAAGGAAGTTTTCACCACATCCACATTTGCTTTACAGAGTATATGAAATCACCTGGTTCCTTGGCTACTTTGATTAAATTACTGAATTCATTCAAATTGCTTGCCAATATGTCTTGGTTCATGTTTGCAAATATTTCATGTTTATAGTTATCTTAAAGCACCCCTGAGTATTTATGGCTGTTAATACTAATTTATTTAACACAAACATACTTTTTCTATATAAAGTTTTTGAACAAAACTACCAACATAAGATACATAGCAGAATCATTTCTATATTTATAATAAGATTAAGCTTTTATTTTTCCTTAACTTACAGGAGGCATTACTCAATAAAATATGATGAAAAAGGAATTTTTTAAAATTTTATTTTATTTAAAAAAAAATTTTTTTTTAACGTTTATTTTACTTTTAGACAGAGACAGAGCGTGAACGGGGGAAGGTCAGAGAGAGGGAGACACAGAATTGGAAGCAGGCTCCAGGCTCTGAGCCATCAGCCCAGAGCCTGACGCGGGGCTTGAACTCACGGACCGTGAGATCGTGACCTGGGCTGAAGTCGGACGCTTAACCGACTGAGCCACCCAGGCGCCCCTAAAATTTTATTTTAATTACAGTATAGTTAGTATACAGTGTTATATTAGTTTCAGGTGTACAACATAGTGATTCAACAATTCCATACCTCATACTGGTGTTCATCATGAGAAGTGTACTCCTGAATTCGCACCCTTATTTCACTCATCCCCCCACCCACCTCCCCTCTGGTAACCATCCATTTGTTCTCTATAATTAAGAGTCTGTTTCTTGGTTTGTTTCTCTTTCAAAAAAGGTATTCTTGGGGTGCCTGGGTGGCTCAGTTAAGCGTCTGACTCTTGGTTTTGGCTCAGGACATGATCTCACAGTTAGTGAGTTCGAGCCCTGCATCAGGCTCTGCACTAATGTGCAGAGCCTGCTTGGGATTCTCTGTCTCCCTCTCTCTCTGCCCCTCCCCTGTGTGCACTCTCTCTCTCTTCCAATCTCTCTCTCAAAAATAAATAAACAGCTTTAAAAAATTAAAAGAAAAAGGTATTTTTGATTAAGAGTATGTTTTTAAATAAAGGTCTAGAAGAGAAAACTCATTTGAAAGGTAAATACTGCAAAAAATAACCTATTTTACTTTACGTGAAGTCTTGAATATAAATACTACAACATTTTACGCTACAGCATTTAAAAAATATATATATTTAATGAGCTGTCATTTAGGGAATAATTTTCTTTCAGTTCTCTATTTTTAAGTATCACCAAAAGGGAAAAAAGATTATTATTTTTTTTTATATCAGAGACTTATCATAGTGAACATGTGGTATGAAGTAGTTATTAAGCCTTATTTAATGGTAAAAAAATGTTTATATTTCTAACATTTGGGGTAAGCTACAAAGGTTCCACAATCTTTTACTTTGCTTGAAATATTCATGTATTATTGCCTTTGTAAGTAAAAGAAATGTATCATGTAAAGCAGAAAAACACAAATGTTGATATTTTTAAACTGTACAATGAAAACAGTAGCAACATCAAAAGAGCCAAACCAACCACCAAATCCCACTTCCATTTCTGATCTAATAGCATAGGTGGCATAAAAGATGTGCAAATTAAATAGAACTAGTTCTGCAATAAAATGGTAATTGCTAGCATGTCATAATGCAATACATTCAGAGTATAGCATGAATTAATTTCTTGAGTCTCTAGAAGTAACCAAGAAAGGGCAAACAGGAAGGGAGTAATATTCTTACCTGTGCAACATATGCAGAATCTGATATAAGGGAGAAACTGTCCATCTCTCCTCGGCTGATATAAGTTTGAAGTAGGATGTTTATTTTCCCATAACTGTTCTCTACACCTCCAGGAGCCGAGAGTTCACAGAAATTGTTTAATAAGGCATCTAGCTCTTCTATTTCCTCTTCTCTGACCTGGAAGAATCAATGTTTCTGTAAGATTATTTGGGATGATTTATTGAAATTTTTCATATTGAAACTAAACCACATTACATATTTTTTTAAAGTTTCCATTTGATGTAATGCAACATTTTTCTTTTGTATACTAATATATAGTAATTTTTTCATAGGTAGCTAATAAAATACAATAAGAAACTATCTTGAGGCTGATACAATTACATTTTATTATTCATCACCAATATTAAAGTTGCCATTGACATATAAAAATTTGATATGCCACAAAAATTAAATCTTCTGACCTCACCATCCTTCAGTTGATGAGATTTCATATTTTATTTGACCAGAGTAAAACCTCTGCCCAAATGGATTAGGGCAAACTTGAATTATCTTCAAATGCATTCATTACAGTCATATATTTTTATATGGTATAACACATTCATAGCTTAAAGCTGTGAAGTACTATGATTCACAGTATTAAAGTTTCCACTGTTAATAAGATTAAATTATAATACAGGTACAGAAATACTTATATCTAAGTTTGAATCATGCATGTCCTTTATATTTTCTTCAGTGAACCTTATATTGCAAATAAACCAAAATCTACAAACTATATTCTCTGCTAGTTTCATTACTGCAAAACCTACTTAAATTATATTTGATTTGCAGTAGAGAGCAAAGAATAATGTCAGAGATGACATAATATCATAATCTAGGATAGTGGACATTGTTGATAAATGGAAGAACACTGCTGGTACTCCAAGTGTGAAGTGCCATACAGCTTATACTGTATCAGGAATAACAATTAACTATAAGCTTTTATAAATAGATGAATGTATATATGCTATATGCATTGATTTAAGCTTCAAGTAATCTTACCTTGATTTGATCAAATTCTTCAGCTTTGGAGACTATAGCAAAAATATCACTTTCTGTTTTGTGAGCATCAAAGAGTTCATTGAAGGTCTACCAAGGTAAGTGTTATATTTGGTTAAAATAGAATATCCAGTGAAATATTTTCAATTAAAAAGTGACTATACATCAAAACATTCTTAGAGAATATTGAGTCCTAAACAATTCAGAGTTATTATGTCTGTGGCATACAATTCCTGAACACTGTTTTAAACATCATCAAATTTATCAGAGACTAAAAAGTTTCCTAAAACATAATTAGCTGGAGAAGACTTTTAGAAGCAAAAAGATCAATAAAGTCAGTTATTAAAACCTACATTAGATATCTAAAAAAAACGTTCAGCATAACAGTCCAGTCTTGGCTCATTTTCAGCATTGGCATATGGAAATCTGCACTATTCACCAACTTTAAGCTGATCCTACATCATATAAAATTCAAAGAGGCATAACTAAAATTATGTAACCTGAAAATTCTGGCGAAGATATCGTAATATTACTAGTAAGGGAATGTAGAACTTCAGGAGACTGAGAAGAAAAAAAATCAGTTAATAAGACCATACAGAATATAGATAAAGCTGAAGAATGGCTGCAGTTCTTGAAAGAGCTACAGGCACAAGATGTAGTTGGACAGTAGCGGACAAAATGAGTGCACGTGAGCCCGTGACGGAAGCAGCAGAGAGCTAGGGAAAATGTTCTGGGTTAAGGAAGATCAGATCACAGTTGTGAGATGATACATGTTGAAAGAAGAAACCTAAAGTGCTCTACAAATTCAAGATTTAATCGGGGAAAGATGAAGAAAAGCTAGTATGCACACAAAGGTGTTTTCTGAAAACTGTTATATACCTAAGCAAGTTAAATGAGTACAAAATTTAGATTTCATACAGGCCTAGGTTTTCATATTTCTGAGGAAATTTCACTTTCGTGATTTATATTACTTTTCCATTTAAAAAATAAAATAAAGGGCACCTGAGTAGCTCAGGCGGCTAAGCATCTGACTTTGGCTCAGGTCATGATCTCATGATTTGTGAGTTCAAAGCCCACATCAGGCTCTGTGCTGACAGCTCAGAGTCTAGAACCTGCTTCAGATTCTGGGTTTCCCTCTCTCTCTGACCCTCCCCCACTCTCACTCTATGTATGTCTCTCTCTGTCTCTCTCAAAAGTAAACATTTAAAAAAAATAAAAAAATAAATAAAATAAAAAATAAAATTAGGTACAAAAAGAAAAGAATATAAAACAATAATTCAAACTCTTTCTCTATAAAAAGGAGAGTAAAAATGTGCTTTAACCCATCTTGGTTTTTGAAATTAAGACTTTCAGGGGCGCCTGGGTGGCGCAGTCAGTTAAGCGTCCGACTGCAGCCAGGTCACGATCTTGCGGTCCGTGAGTTTGAGCCCCGCGTCGGCTCTGGGCTGATGGCTCAGAGCCTGGAGCCTGTTTCCGATTCTGTGTCTCCCTCTCTCTCTGCCCCTCCCCCCTTCATGCTCTGTCTCTCCCTGTCCCAAAAATAAATAAACGTTGAAAAAAAAAAATGAAATTAAGACTTTCCTCACAGGTAATCCCTGGTTACATTTTTCCATGTATTAACATACGTAGGTGCATATACATGCCTACAAACACACATAAAAACATGCATATATTCCTTAAAATGTAAATATTATAGTGGCATCCTATCTTACACAAAATCATGTTAAAAGGCAACAAGCAAGGATACATTGTGCAGTCTAAATTATCCATGAAACCTCTTAAATTGCCCAAATGGTATAGCTTGGCTGAACTGATAATTGCATTAGTTTTTCTAACTCTTCCTTAGCCAATGTTTCTCAATAACCTGCAAGTAATTTTTCAACTTTTTGTTCATTGATACCATGAAGCCATCACCTCCTCCCTAATTTCATTCAGGCATTCGTTCAACTGGTCTCCCTCAAATGCTCAATGTTTTAGGCTTGGGTGTGTCTACTACTTAGGATATACTCACTGAACAGATGGCAAGAGGGTCCTTATTTTTTAAAGTCTTATTTTCTCTTGTGTTTACTGTATTATGTTATTGAATTCATATAAGTTAAGTGCATTTTGTTCTATTAGTTGCTTTAGTTACTTTACATTAATGCTATATTTTGAAGTCCAGAAACATATATACATCTAAGAACATATTATTGTATTTGTTCTACTGAGTATAATACCTCAATGGTGTTGTACTTAATATAGTAGTGGCTAGCAGTTCTACCCAAATCAGTTGAGGAAAAATATCCAGTTCGCTCTTCAAAACGAATCATCCGAGCTTTGTCTAGTTTTCGTCCAACTTCAATGACCAACTGTTCTCGGTGCTTTGCTAATGTTGGGTCAATCTGTAGGAAAAAATATATATATAAATACTTGGATATTTCTTTAGAGAGTCATCATTTGCAAATATATACCTATTTATGGAAATTAAAATTTTTTGTTGATGCTTTAGTTAGAATAAAAATTTTTATTACTGTTTTCAAAGAACATTTTAATAAATTTAGTACATAACTAGAACATATTTTAATCCATTAAATAAAGTAAGCCTTTATTAAGATTGGGGGGCCTGGGTGGCTCAGCCGGTTGGGCTTCCGACTTTGGCCCAGGTCATGATCTCATGGTTCGTGGGTTCGAACCCTGCATCAGGCTCTGTGCTGACAGCTCAGAGCCTGGAGCCTGCTTTGAATTGTGTCTCCCTCTCTCTCTGCCCCTTCCCTACTCACACTCTGTCTCTCTCTGTCTCTCAAAAATAAATAAACATTGAAAAAAATTTTTTTAAATTCATTAAGATTAAAAAAGTGATCAATCTTTATATTATCTTTAGATGGATAGGAATATTTCAGAACCTAAAATTCATTGAGATGCAATCCTAAATAGATGCCACTATGGCAAGGATGGACAAAGCAGAGCAGAAAATCAGCTATATAGAAGACAAAATTATGGAGAATAATGAAGCAGAAATAAAGGGGAATCAAAGGCAAAAGGTCATGATACAAGACTTAGAGAACTCCATAATTTATTAGAAAGGAATAACAGCTGAATCATAGGAGGCCCAGAAGATGAAGAGAGAGAAAAAGGGGCAGAAGCTTTATGTGAGGAAATTATAGCAGAAAACTTTCCTAATGTGGGGAAGGACACAGACATTAAAATCCAAGAAGCACAGAGAACTCCCCAGTAGATTCAACAAAAACCAACCATCACAAGGCATATCATAGTCAAATTCACTAAAATTCTTACTTGGTCTTAAGAACAGAAATCAGATATAAGTAAAACAATCTATCTTCTCCCTCCTACACTAAAATAACTAGGGATTTTAAAATATCATACTTCATCAGCTTTTGGAGAAATTATAGTGAGGATGATTTTCTCTATTAAAGATATAAACAAATAAATGCAAAATTGTCCTTTCAAGAGTATGACTTAAGTGTTCTAGCAGTTTTCACAACTGCTGATGGAAAAACCCATTTGCCTATAATAATAATAAAAGCAAAGAGTAAGATGAAGTTGACAAGAAATTTTTGAATAGTTTTGAAATTATTTTATAGCCTTTTCTAAGCAGAAAGGACATTTAACACAAGATATTAACAAAAATTCTTAAATATTGTGATGTATGTGTGTTTGTATAAGTATGTGTATGTATATACACATATACACAGGCATACACACCAAGTACTGAAGATCATGCTCTGGTCATGAACAATAAATATGACCTTTAAGTGGGACTGAGGGGAGTATAAAAATTCTTTGGGAATCAACTGATGAGTCAATACTCCTACTATTCATTCTAACCTAGATTTTGATGGCAGCATATTCATATACCAAACATAGCTAAAACAAATTTAAAAATAAGAAAAATGAGGCAAAGGAAGTCAAATGTAGGGAAGATGGAATCAAAAGCCATTAACAAACATGAAAGTCTTAAAATTTGCTATAAATGATATACTGTATGTATCAGGTTCATCTTATAAAACCATTTTATTCATCACATGTTACTAAACCATTAAAAAATACGTTGGACAACATGATTTGTGTCAGTTCACATGAGTTTGTGGCTACAAATTCTTACTGAGTAATAAAACAAACACGTAAGTAAAAAGAAAATTAAAAAGAAAATTAAAAAGTCCCTAAACTGTGAAGATAGTAAAACTATGTACCTCAGAAAGAAAAAAAAAAATCACTTTCTTTACACTAGAAAATTATACAAAAATGACCCCTGATATTAATCTAGTACTTAAAAAAATCAATGTGTTTATTTTGCCCCAAGATTTGCAACGGCTTAGCCCATGAAAATATGTGTTGTGTTTCATCTTCCTCTACCCTTTCAGAATATTTTCATAGTGCCATTGACTATTTTCACAAGCCCCTATTTGTAGCAAGGTCTTTTTTTTTTTTTTTTCCTCCTAACCCTTAAGTTTCAATTTTTCCATGGTCAAATCTACAGCACAGGAAAAGGAAAAATGACAAAAAAGATTGGCCACTGCTTTGATAAGACAATGGAATATATACAAAAGCTAAATTAACAGTGAATGGGGAAAACTATAATTTTAAGTTCAGTTCAACTTTGCTACTTTTGACTTAACACTAGTGAATATCCATATGATGATGGTGACAGAATGTTTTCATTAGACAACTGATTTTATCTGTAATTAGGAAGTATTTACAGCATGTAAAACAGAGTTCTAAGAAAAGACAAGATCTTACAGAATCTGTAAGCCACGTGGACCACACAACTGTAAAGTTCACAGGAAGGGCTACTACAACATAAATCTGGTTCTGTCACTGTGTTCAGTGGAACTGATTCAAGCCTTCACACTGTTAATAACTCATTAATGCTATCTTTTAATTTAGGAATAAAGGCTTAGAAGGGACTTGATAAGAGGAATATACTTCATAAAACATAAGCCTGTGATTAAAAGTGATCTATAATTCTCACGTCTGGTTTAATCTAATTACCTTTATTTATTATAGTTTTTTAAAAAATCACAGCAAAATATCAATATTAAATGGAAATGTACCTGAATAATAAACTGATAATATATAAAGACTCACTTTTTAGTATCAGTGGGAAAAGATATAAAGTAAAATAATTACAAGTGGCAAATTTAATTTTCCTTCGTATTTTCTAAAAAAGATTAAAGCTCTTTGTTTTTCTTCTATGTACCTAACTATTCAGATGAGGCAGAAGTAGCAAATATTTATCCTCATATCATAAAAAGATTACAAAACCAAAAAGAAGGCTTGTTTTTTTTCAATAAATGAGTTTTCTACCTGATAAGCCTTGTGACTGATGCCATATACTAATGGGTTTGCTCTCATCCGTACATAGAGATAAGTGTAACTTATCCACTTCACTGCTTCTTCCACATTAGTAACTGTTCCCAGAGCAATCTGCAAATCAAAAATATAACAAAAATTAAACTAATGCATTAAAGTTGGATATAAACATTACATCAAAGGTCATTTTGTCAAAGGGTAAGTTAAAATACATCATTATGCTGTATTTAAAAGAAGGTAAGTACAATTACTGGACATGTCACCTCTCCAATTAATTAAAAATCAGTCCTGCCTCATTTAATTGAGAACAGTACATTGGAAATGCTAACTTCCAAAACCAAGTTTACTCAATATTATGGCATTTGATTATTTTACCTAAATGGGGTTTAATTCTATATATAAAGCATTGAAAGGTTAATATTTTAAAAATACAATATAACATATAAGATCTGTGTAATAAAGAGAAAGAAATTATTAGAAAATGGTATTAAAACAAAATTGCAATGAAAAGTTTTCCTAAAAATACATTTCCTTAGCTACTAGATATCCAGGTAATCACTTTACTTAGTGTTCCTTAATTTAAAAGTTCACGCAAAACTTGGAAACTTCATAGTTGCATAGTTCTTCCTGAACCTATGGCTAAAAAAAAATTAAATTTCTTAATACCTCAATAAAAGGAAGAGAGATGCCTCCTACCTAAACTATTATTGTATTAGGAGAAAAAAAAAAAAAGGAAAAAGAAAGTCTTTCATTTCAGCATTCAATATTAAAGAAAATAAAACTTTTATGTTTGTTTTATTCCTATAATTTTTAATTCTGTATAACTAATTTTGTGAAATAAGTATGGATACTTAGCTATCTTTAGTTAGTTGAAGATGAGATCTAGCAATATATAAACATCACTATACTATACATCATACTATTACTTATTAAAAAAAGAGAAATGACCAATGTAAAAATAATTAGGGGGATTCTATTTACTTTAAATTTACACTAACTTGAAACAAGTCAGAGAAAGACAAATACTGTAGCGTTTCACTTACACGTGGACTCTAGAAACACCAAACTCATGGAAAGAAACAGCAGAATAGTGGTTGCCAGGAGTTGAGGGGTGGGGGAAATGGGGAGATGTTGGTCAAAAGGCATAAACTTTCAGTTGTAAGATGAGTAAGTTTCGGTTATCTAACGTACAGCATGGGAGCTATAGTTAGTAATACTATATTGTGTACTTGAAAGTTGATATGAGAGTAGCACTTTAGTGTTCTCATGATAACAACAACAAAATGATACTTACATGAAGAATAGGTTTACTAACTTTACTGTGGTACGTATTTCACAATTATACACATATCAAACCATTGCACTGTAAACCTTAAACTTACACAATGTCTTATGTCAATTATATCAGCATAATTACATAAATTTAATGTATTTACAAATGACTAAGTCACCCATAGGTAAATATATACATTTCCTAAAAAGTGAACTGTAAGACTTTCTACAAAATGAAGAGTAGCAAGACTAAAACATAACTAATAAAGGAATTGTGCCACACTCCCTAAATATTAAACATGAGACAGCTGGGGGCACCCGAGTGCTCGGTTGGTTAAGTGTCTGACTCTTGATTTTTGTTCAGGTCATGATCTCACAGTAGTGAGATTGAGCCCCTCTTTGGGCTCTGTGCTGGCCGTGGAGCCAGCTTAAGATCCTCTCCCTCTTTCTTCCTCTGCCCCTCCTGCAGTCATATGCACACTTGCTCTCTTTCTCAAAAAACAAACAAAAAAAAAAAAAAAAACAAAAAAAAAAAGAGTGATAGAGAGACAGCTGAAACATTTTCTAGCCTGCTGAGGTAAAGGAAACTAGTTTAATTATATAGCTAAAAATCTGATAGTGTCCTCCATTTGTGATTTTATTATTTGATGGCCAAAACAGTGTGGATTCCCTTATGACCGATATTTTAAAATAATATAACACAACTCCTGAGATAGAAAATTTTATAAAGGATAAGGATAAAATAATGCTATCATTTCCAAAATCAGACTCAGTAAATAAACATTAATAAGCACCTGTTGCTACTAATGATAAGATTAAAGGAGGAAGAAGGTATCAAACTGGATTAAGTCATTCAAGTCATCTAAATGTTCACCAAAAGAAAACAGACTACCCTGAAAAGCTGATGTAAATTCATGATGGTACATCATATTTCTAGATTAATCTTTGAATGCCACCTAGTGACAAAGACAAAAATTTGCTTGTAAATATCTGCTGTCACCTAGTGGCTACTTAGCACAGGAGCCTTTTATGATAAAAGTATTTTTCAAATCTCTTTGCAATATATCCATTCATCTCAACAATCACATAGTAACTCAGTTACAAGTCTGTATTATATAAAGTACAATGGATATAGCAATAAATGGAGCATGATCTCCAGTCTTAAGAAGTCCCCTGTTCATGTAGGTGAGACACGTGTAACTAAGATGATTGTACATGAAATCACCATCCCTGGTGCCTAGTACATAATACTTATCCAAAAATGATTTTAATTAAAAACACCTAATGTGTAAAACTTATAAAAGTGCCATTAAATATACAACGTAATAGAGTTCTATGTTCTGTTAAGAAGAAAAAAAAAAATCTACCCCAAATTTGGTAATTTAGAAGTTAGACTCAAAGTACCACTTTATATCTAATTCACCTATTTAAATTTAGCCTTTAAGATGATCTTAATTGCTTCCTTGTGTGTTTTCTTAAACTGGTTGAAATCCTATAAAAACAAAATAAATGTAATCATCAGTATGTATGTGTATGCATGACTGTGTGTGTTTGTATCCTTTAGCAAATATATGAAAAAAAAATACTGCCATTTATGTATTTATTCAGCTAGGATTTGAAAGCTGACAGTAAGTATAAATAGGCTGAGTATCAAGGGACTATCAGAAAATGGTAAGTGATACAAATAGTTTACTAAATACCAGCTTAGCACAGGTGCTTCTTAAATTTTCACAACAATCTAGTGAGATTGTCCCTATTTTATAAATGGGAAAATTGGGACTTTATAAATGAAGTGAATAGACTGAGAGTCTGTCTTGTGCAGAAGACATGTGTTGGAGAATAACCAGAATCAGCATTGGGAAAGTTGGTTACACTATGGAAGACTTAAATCTAAGGACAAGGTATTTATACTATGTCATGTAGAGACAAGAAAAATTCCATATAGGGGCGCCTGGGTGAGTCAGTTGGTTAAGCATCCAACTTCAGTTCAGGTCATGATCTTGTGGTTTGTGAGTGTGAGCCTGGCAGTCAGGCTCTGCACTGAGGGCTCAGAGCTCAGAACCTGGAGCCTGCTTTGGATTCTGTGTCTCTGCCTCTCTCTCTGCCCCTCTTCAGCTTGTGCCCTCTCTGTCTCTCAAAAATAAATAAATAAACTTGAAAAAAAAAAAAAGAACAACTCCATATAGAATATATGTAGGGTTATAGATATATTCACGTATTTTAAAGTATGTACTACAAGGGCCTAACACAGAGCAGGTACACAGTAATGTCTGCTGAATGCATTTTAATAAGCCTCAAACATGCTTCAGTGTTTCTCTCAGTGCAAAAGTAAGTGGCTGTTGGGGCGCTTGGGTGGTTCAGTCAGTTAAGCATCTGGCTCTTGATTTTGGCTCAGGTCATGATCTCATGGTTTGTGTGTTCAAGCCCTGAGTTGGGCTCTGTGTTGACAGAGCAGAGCCTGCTTGGGATTCTCTCTCTCTCTCTCTCTCTCTGCCCCTCCCTCACTTGCATGTATGTGCAAGCTCTCTCTCTTTCAAAATAAATAAACTTAAAAAAAAAAAAGGGACTTGTGACCTTCTGGCATTAGCATTAAGAGTCAGCTGTATTAGGTATCAGGTACCAATCAGCAAATTTGTCTCATAAAATATATTAAAATTATTACTTAACATATTACTTTCTTCAGTTCTTCTAAACTAATGGTCAGAATAGATATTCACGCTACAAAAGATATAGTAGAGGCAATATTCCTAATCTAATATGACATTTCTGTTGATCACTGCCACTGAATAGTCTTGCAAAGATCTGGGGAGTCTAAAGACTTGAAAACCCATTACCTTAAGAACACAGTACACATTCATTTTATAAACTAATTTCACACTTGATTTCCACAGATTACCAAATTTAATTTTATACTCAACCATAAGGGAATTTGTTTCCTTAAAAGAAAATTTACTTTAATTGGGAGCTATTCTAAGTAGACTAAAATATGAGAAAAAAGTTTTAGCAATGGCTGTACTTCACTATATTAGCAAAAAATTTCTAGATATATATTTCATTATTTGAATGCCTTTGATGGCATTAAATGGAATTATGGTTATAGTTAGTTGACATTTTGGAAAATGACCTAATAAATACTTTATGAATATGAGTTAAATCTATTGACTACAATTTATTTTCTAAATTTTTCAGGGCTTGACCAAATAGTTTTTCATCGATAATATTTTACAGTCTATAAAAAAGAGTTCCTTGAGGACATAGCAGTATTTCACTTATCCCATGTCTTCTGCACAATAACATCACCACCTTGAGTTTACTTTACCATTTATAAAAAGGATAGTAATTATATTTATGAAGATAGTCTTTCTTGATACACTTTCCTGGAAAACTTGCATAAAAAGATCCTTTCTTTTTAAGTGAGAGAAATTATGACTACCATTTTGGAAAAATTAGTCCTGGTCTTAGAGAAGACAAATGGTAAGTATCAATGTAGAGAAATGTATTCACCTTTAACTGACTACATTCTGTATAAGGCAACAAAAATCTAGGTTATCATAAAGAAACTAGATTTGTAGTTAAATATACCTCAGTTTGAATACTAGTTCCAAAAATCAGTAACTTTGGGTTAGTTATTTATCTCTCTGAGGCAATAATATCTACCTCGCAGGGCATTTAGATTGTTCTCATGCCACTCCTACTATTACTATCATGGATTGCACAATAGACTTTTCTATCAGAGATACTGTTGACCCAAGACCAAAGACCTAATTATTTAAAGCATGCAATCATAACAGGTAATGGGGACTGAAACTGAGCTATAATAACATTGCCTTTAGAGTAAAAATTTATTTTCTAATCATTTTTATTTTCTTGTAATTATGTTACTAGAGACTAGCGTCTTTTATGACTTTTTCTAACTTCGAACCAGATCTTCCAAACCTTATCTAATCTTCTGATCTCAGATCAAGTTCTGCCATCATCAGGAACAAAGCTTTTCCTAATAGCCAGAGACTAAAAGTGTTTCCTCCTTCTGCTGACTCCATCTATAGAAAATATCACTTTCTATAGAAAATATCACTGTGTTTTTGTATCTTTTTTCCCCTTTTGGACTACATGTACTTTAACAGAGGGGACTGCATAGTGGATGTGCTTTTGATCCTCGAAAAAGAATAGTAATGAACAGAATGTTAAGTGAAATTTTTATAAGCTGTTTAAGAAGTACCTGATATAGCACTCATACACAATATTTGATTGCAAAGATTTAATTTCTTCATCTATTAACATGTCATTTATTCATCTATTTAACATTTATACTCCATCTATTTTAAAAAATTATGTGAATTTTAAAGACAAGAAAGGATATAGAAGCAGGAAAATGTTGAATGCCAGGGCAATAATTAAAAAATGTCATCAACAGAGTGAAACTTTATTTAAATGTTTGACACACAGACTCTTAAATTAAGAATGTTTATCCTCTTTACCAGTTAATACATTACTTGGACTTCCAGAGTCTGCTATTTAAATCTTAACACAAAATGCACATACATACATGAAACAAATTATAATACTGTAGCTCAATTTAAGCAAGTATATTCTGTATGAAAGGTCAATGACCTAACATAAAAAAAAAAAACACCTTTATAAACCTTATAAAAAACTTTCTAAGAGTGTAATCCAAATATAGTGGTTGTTACTGCTATTTCTGTTTCTTTCATTTGTATAGCTTTGGTTAGATTTCTGGCCTATAACAAAACTTCACAGTTTAAAAGTACACTCTTTTAGCAATGAGTTCTTATCAGTTATCATATGCATCCTACACTGTTCTGAATTAACCAACAATATTGCCATTTAGTCCATTCAGTCTGTTGTGCCTTATGACTATAATTATATAGTCATATATTTTATATATATATAGTCATATATTATATAGGCATAAACTATATTCCTGAAGATTACAGAATAGCAACCAATTCCACCTGATATTTACTTGGCCATTCTTTCAGCTGATTATTCTATTCCTATCGTTTATTCACCAGATCTTACCTCTGCATTTAGGTTATCTGCAAGGCTTTCCAGAAACTGACTCTCAATTGGGTTTTGTTGAGTGAGCAAAGTGAGGTAATGGCTGAGTTTGTCATGTGTTGTTATGATGATTCCTTCTCCAAATCTGTCAAATTGTGGTCTTCCAGCTCGACCAAATATCTGCATGACATCTAAAATTCCAAGGTCAACAAAAGAGCCTCTTTTTGCAGCATATATTTGTGTTCCCTAGATGAAGAAAAGTTAATAAAAATTTACATAAACACACACAACTATAATCCTGATGAGCTGAATACTGAAATTAGGCAAATATGGCAAGATCTTAAAAGTGTACTTTAACTAATCCTTTCATCATCTGTGATAGAGTTAAATTTTCACAATATAAACTAGATTTTTTTGGAGCGAATAATTCTTACCTTATATGAATAGCAGTAAAAGTCAATGAAACAGCCAAATCACAGTATTTTTCTAAATAAATCAATCCACAGGTTTAAGACACACACAAATCCACGTAACGTAAGCTATTACCTTAATAATAACAGCATGAGCAGGAAGATTGACACCCCAGGCTAATGTAGCTGTACAGACCAGAACTTTGATATGCCCATTAGAAAACAAATTTTCAACCAAGTTTCTGTCCTGCCGAAGCATTCCTGCATGATGAATACTAAAACCATCTGGAAATAATTCTCGTACTTGTTTGTTTCTTGACTTCTGCACCTAAGGTAGATATCAAGAAGACATAAAAGAGTATTATTTAACATTTACAAGTAATTGTTATTTAGCATTTTTGTTCAATGACTTCATCAAAGTAAGCATAAAATTATTCTTGTTTTGAGGCCTAAGTATATATTTTTCTGTATAAAATTGTTAAAAATTATATTTTACCTATCTTAAAACATAGGTAATCTCCAACATGACACAAAATCCAAAAGGAATGAGGTTAAAAGTAAGCATCTCTTTCATACAGACTTGTAACCAATCATTATTTCTTGTTTCCTATCCTTCCAAAAATACTCTATTAAAAAAAAGCATAAATCTAAGAAAAAAACAAAACATAAATCTAAATTGCTTCCAACTTATTCAGGGCAAAGGCTACAGCCCTTACAATGCAGGACTCTACACTGGGTGTTATATGTAAGTGATGAATCACTAAATTCTACTCCTGAAACCATTATTACACTATATGTTAACTAACTTGGATTTAAATAAAAAAGAAAAAAGAAAAAAAAGTAGTTAGAAAAACAGGAGAAGACCCAGGAGAAAAAAAAGAACTAGGGCCTGGTCAATAGTATCAAATGCTACAGAGGCCCAGTAACTTGCTATATCTCCCTGTATTTCCTATAATAGAACACTTAACATGCTGTGTTCATCACACTTGTCTGAACCCTCCAGTGAAATGTAAATGCCACGAGGCCAGGAATTGTATCTATTTTGGTCCAACATTACAGATTAAAGGGCACAATATTATGCTTGACCCAGAGTGGCATTAAATAAATGTTTGTTCTGGGTGCTTGGGTGGCTCAATTGGTTAAGTGTCCAACTTTGACTAAGGTCATGATCTCACAGTTTGTGAGTTCAAGTCCCACACTGGGCTGTGCAGTGACAGTGTGGAGCCTCCTTTGGATCCTCTCTCTCTACCACTCTCTCTGCCCACCTCCCCTGCTTGCGCTCTTTCTCTCAAAACAAACAAACAAGCAAAAAAACATTAAAAAAGTATTTGTTCAATTACAAAAAAAAAAAGACTCTACAGAAATTATTCTCATTCCCTAACCTCACTTACCAATGCCAGCTACTAGGGTTGACTTTTTCTCTAAGTCCCTTTTTTGACAAAGCCACATCCACTTCACCAGGGTCTTTATATTTTCTGTACACAACCTACTTCCTGGAAGACATTTCCCTCTTCTTTCTGAGATCCCCATGCATGATTCCTTAGCACATGCACTGTTTCTCATTGAAGTGACCCAATAAACCCAACTGTGTTCACCTAGAGGTGTGTTCTTGGTGATTTTGATGGGAGGGCACTGACCACGTTAGTTCCTCAACTTGACAATGCCCTGAATATACTAACTTCACTTCTGGTGTCTGTTTTTGACCTTGTCTGAACTCAGATGTGGGATTTGATCCACTTATCAGCAATCTATATAATTGCTACAGCAGAGTATCTTAAAAAAATTCACTGAGACTCACACTATACAATGGAGAAAATCTCCCTATAAAATTAAAGAACGTAGATTAACATAAAATAAGTATTTATGTAGTCAATAAATGGGGCATCATGTCCTGCATTTGCTTGCTATTGCTCTAAAAATTTCATTATCAACATTTCAAGAGCATCTTTTGAAAGAGAAGCTTTCCATGGTTTTTATGCAAGGGGCATTACACTGACAGGAAGTGGAATTTCAGGGGTCTGTGATTCTAGTACAGACTTTGTGACATTATGTCTAAAGTCACTTAAAATTTTAAACTTTCATTTTTAAAGCTTATTTATTTATTTTGAAGGGGGGGGGAGCGAGTACACATGAGCATGCAAGTGGGGGAGGGGCAGAGAGAGGGAGAGAGAGAATCCCATGCAGGTTCCAGTGCTCTCAGCCCAGAGCCTGAGGTGGGGCTCGATCCCATGAACTGTAAGATCATGACCTGACCTGAAACCAACAGTCAGTCACTTAACAGACTGAGCCACCCAGGTGCCCCCAAAATTTAAACTTCTAATAATAATTAACTAAGGAAATGACCTAAGAAAACAACACTCCATGAAATCTGTTGCAAAAATAAAACAGAAATACATTAACAAACCACTCCATCTAGTGGCCATCCCAGTAAATAACAACTTACACACAGACCTAGAGTCCTGAACAAAATACACATATACCCAAAAAGACTTCCTTCTTCAACTTTCATGGGGAGTATAGTCCTCTTTTATTTTTGTGCAGTGTGGTCAGCCTGTTAGAAATCATATCATGCACTGACCTGATAATTAACTACATTTGGGTCATATTGCCTAAACTTTCATCTTTTTAAATTTTTTCATCTTTTCAGACAAGAGTTATGATCTATTTTCTTAACACAGCTCTTATGAATATGAGATGACTTGGGATAAGGTCAATTGTGGAGTATTTTCTAGGATATAACAGAGTTCTTTCATGGGCCAAGGGTAGGGAGAGGAGACACATTTCATCTAGTAAGTTTCTTCTCTAATATTCATAAGTAGACACTCAGAGCTAACAGAATAAATAAGAAAATATTTTTTGGAGGAGATACTCTGTACAAATTATACTGCTTGGATTGTTGTTTGTTTCAGTTGAATCTGCTGTCTGTAGACCCCTGCAGTGGAATGTCCTGATGTGCTTGTGATAAATGCAGATTCCTTAGTCAAACTCCATTTGGAGCAGGACTTGGTTTGCAGCACCAATGACACAATAAGAGGCTGCAGGCAGGGAATAATGAACTGTGGGGAAGAATATTCCCATTATGTAGCAGAGTACTCACATAGCACCCCCCCCACTCTGACCAATTGAGTTCAACCAGGTTCCGGGCAACCATCTGAGTAATCCCTCTGGTTTCAAGTGAGGAATATAGAGGCACTAGGGATCATTTCTCTTTTGTCTCTATTCTTGCTAAAAATATCTTGTGCATTGCTTTTTAATTGGTTTAGTATAGACCTGAAGTGACAACAATCCTAAAATAAGTCTGGTTTGCTCATTCCTAATTGTCTTTGAAGCTAAATTTGCTACTTGTGGTCTGGTCTAGCTCAGAGTACAAATAAACTAGAATCCTTGGGAATGAGGCAAAGAGATGTACATTTTAAAAATCTTGTTTTAAAAATCATACAGAAAAATTTTATTATTTTTTCACTTTTGGTGTACAGTCTATGAATTTTAATATGTTCAATTTCTGTAACAACTACCATAGTCAGGATATAAAACAGTTCTTTCACCCTAAAAAATTCCCTTGTTATTCCTTTATAGTTGCACCCTCTCCACTTATAACCTCTGGCAACTAATGATCTGTTCTCCATCCTTATACTTTTGTGACTTCAAGACTGTTATAAAAATGGACTCAAACAGTATATGAGCCTTTGAGGCTAGTTTCTTTTACTCTGTTTGATGCCTTTGAGATTCATCCAAGTTGTATTGATAGTTCATTCCTTTTTCTTGCTGAGCAGAATTCCACAGCACGGATGGATGTATTAGTTTGTTGATCCAATCATCCACTGAAGGATGTTTGAGTTGTTTCCATTTTGAGCAATTATGAGTAGAGCCTCATTGAATCCTCATGTGAAGTTTCTCTCTCTCTCACTCTGTGTGTGTGTGTGTGTGTGTGTGTGTGTGTGTGTGTGTGTGCATGTGCGTGAGAGAGAGAGAGAGAGAGAGAGAGAGAGAATATGAATATATTTTAATTTCTCTAGATACCAGGAGTGTGGTTGCTGGGTCACATGGTAAATGTATGTTTAACTTTACAAAAACTGCCAAACCATTTTCAAAGTAGCTGTACCATATGCATTTTCACCACCAATATATTAGAATTCCAATTGCTTCCCATGCTTGTCCACACTTGAGACTGTCATTTTTTATTTTAGCCATTCTAAGAGGTGTGTAGTGGTATGCCATTGTGGCTTTAATCTGCATTTTCCTAATGACTAATAATATGAAAAATCTTTTCATATTATTAGATATACATTTCTAATCATCTCTTCAAGTTATTCTGATGCACATGAAAGTTTAAGGACCATAGTTCCCTATAGGAAGATACCTAGAATGATTTTTTTTTTAAGTTTATTTACTTGTTTTGAGAGGGGAGGAAGAGTGTGAGCAGGGGAGGGGCAGAGAGAGGGGGAGAGTGAGAGAATCCCAAACAAGCTCCAGTCTGTCAGCCCAGAGCCCGATGCAGGGCTTGATCCCCCAAACCCTGAGATCATGACCTGATCCCAAATCAAGAGTAGTACACTTAACTGACTAAGCCATCCAGGCACTCTCTAGAGTGATATTTTTTACCCATCTATGTACAATACAGCTGTGTAATTTGACCACATGATTCTATTTAGTTCTACACAACTTCATATTCATTACTGTACTCAACTATTTATACTCCTAAGAAAAGTACCTTCCAACAAATTTATAAAACATGACTGTGACTTAAAAAAAGGACACTGTAAAGGGCCAAAGAAAAGGTAACTTAAATGATAAATAGACATTTAGCATGTACTGGATCCTAGAAATACAAAGAAATTTAAGACAAAATCTGAGCTTTGAATAATCTGCAGAATGGAAAGAGACCCATACACAAGTGATTTCTATAAAATGTTTCTTTTTATTTTATTATTTTACTTTTTTAAGTGTTTATTTATTTTTGAGAGAGAGAGAGAGAGAGAGAGAGAGAGAGAGAGAGAGAGACAGAGAGAGAACACATGAGCATGTGCGAGAGAGGGACAGAGAGAAAGACACAGAATATGAAGCAGGCTCCAGGCTCTGAACTGTCAGCACAGAGCTTAACGTGGGGCTCAAAACCACAAACCATGATATCATGACCTGAGAGGAAGTTGGACGCTTAAACAACTGAGCCACCAAGGTGCCTCATAGGTTTCTAGTAGAGGTATATGGACGAAGCTGAAATGAGGGGAAGAACAGCATTCTGGCTTATTTGTGTTTGTTCTGCTAGCACCTGGCAGAGTACTTTCTGCATAGCTAGCACTAACTGCTCGTTTCTGGAATGAATGAATC